TCGCTCCAAGGACTTTTTTGTGCGTCTGGACAAGATACACGTACCACAGAAAATTCGTGCACGTAGGTGAAACGTGCGGCGGGGGCTGCTTCGTTAAAAGTCACTTCCTGTTGCCAGCAGGTGGCGCTATGACTGTGGTGAATGTCAGCATGTACATGTGTTCAGGGCGGACTCTCATCCTACATGTACAGTTTGGTCCAGATGTGAGCATGTACACTGAAGTTACGACAACTTCCGTGTCATGGCGAAGAGTTGATCTTTGACGCCACGCCACGGACACGCCCATTGACGAAAACTTGCAAATAGCACAACTTTTCATCTTCAATGCCTTTAGAAGGCACAGCAGAAATTTGAGGTCGGTCGGACTAAATCCCTAGGAGGAGTTCGTTAAAGTACGAAGTGTGTAAATCATCCAAAATTTGACGTAAAATTCAAAATGGCCGACTTCCTGTTGGGTTTAGGCTATGGCTCCAAGAGACTTTTTTGTGCGTCTGGACAAGATACACGTACCACAGAAAATTCGTGCACGTAGGTGAAACGTGCGCGGGGGCTGCTTCGTTAAAAGTCACTTCCTGTTGCCAGCAGGTGGCGCTATGACTGTGGGTGAATATCAGCATGTACATGTGTTCAGGGGGGACTCTCATCCTACATGTACAGTTTGGTCCAGATGTGAGCATGTACACTGAAGCTACGACAACTTCCGTGTCATGGCGAAGAGTTGATCTTTGACGCCACGCCACGGACACGCCCATTGACGAAAACTTGCAAATAGCACAACTTTTCATCTTCAATGCCTTTAGAAGGCACAGCAAATTTGAGGTCGGTCGGACTAAATCCCTAGGAGGAGTTCGTTAAAGTACGAAGTGTGTAAATCATCCAAAATTTGACGTAAAATTCAAAATGGCCGACTTCCTGTTGGATTTAGTGCATGGCTCCAAGAGGCTTTTTTGTGCGTCTGGACAAGATACACGTACCACAGAAAATTCGTGCACGTAGGTGAAACATGCGGCGGGGCTGCTTCGTTAAAAGTCACTTTCTATTGCCAGCAGGTGGCGCTATGATGTGGGTGAATGTCGGCATGTACATGTGTTCAGGCGGGACTCTCATCCTAGATGTACAGTTTGGTCCAGATGTGAGCATGTACACTGAAGTTACAACAACTTCCTGTTTCATGGCGAATCATCGACGCCACGGACACGCCCATTGACGAAAACGCGCAAATAGCACAACTTTTCATCGTCAATGCCTTTAGAAGGCACAGCAGAAATTTGACGTCGATCCGACTAAATCCCTAGGAGGAGTTCGTTAAAGTACGAAGTGTGTAAATCATCCAAAAATGGCCATAAAATTCAAAATGGCCGACTTCCTGTTGACTTTAGGCTATGGGTTCTGAGGCTTTTTGTGCGTCTTGATACGATACATGTCCCCAGAAAATTTCGTAGACGTAGGTTGAACGTGAACGAGGGGCTAATTTTTTCCAATTTTCTAGGTGGCGCTAGCGAGTCATTTTGCAAGCCCATGTGCGAAACTTGTAGAATACGAAATTTTTCACCGGTTCTGACATGTTTGCAAATTTTGGTGAGTTTTCGAGAAGTTTAGGCCATGTCATTTGGGCCTACTTTGCAGAAAAGAAAAAAAAAAAAATAATTAATCCGAGCAAATTCATAGGGACCTCACACGGTCGTGCTCGGGCCCTAAAAAAAAAAAAAAAAAAAAAATTAAAGCTGCAAGCAGCGTTGGGCGGGCCCTCGCACTTGTAGCGCGTCCGCGCGTGAGCCGGCCGAGTTGCATATTCTGGAGCTCTGCCGGTGCGGCTGTGAATTTCCTACGCGGTTCCGACGCCGCATGAAGGTGCTATATGTCACTTCCTGTGTCCCCTATGTGGAGCTACATAGCACTTGCCGCTATGAATATAAATCGGTATTGACGTGTAGATGTCTGCGGGGTGGGAGAGTTAACAAGCAGGCCATGTCATTTGGGCCTACTTGCAGAAAAAAAAATATATATATAATCCGAGCAGATTCAATAGGGACCTCGCACGGTCGTGCTCGGGCCCTAATAATCCGAGCAGATTCAATAGGGACCTCGCACGGTCGTGCTCGGGCCCTAAATATAATCCGAGCAGATTCAATAGGGACCTCGCACGGTCGTGCTCGGGCCCTAACAATGCACAATACAAAAACATGCAATGCAGTGTAAATATAGAAGAAACAAATGTGCATTGTCCAAAAAGTAGCTTTAGCTAAAACAACAATCTGCTGATTACTGCTCGAGAAAAACATCTTGATAAACACGTTCTGGTATTTTTAAGATGGCTCAAGGTAACCAGTTGTTTTAGATCAGCACAAACAAAGTTTTACCTGGATGATGACGTGCTTCATCAATACGTGACTGGACGACAGTACTCTGTGATTGGTCGATCAGCTCGCAGGTAACGTGGAGAGCTGGGAGAAGGTCTTACTTATTGCTCAGGTGTGTTCGAATCTAGCTGGACGCCATTTTGTAAAAAGTTTATTTCTTTCATTCTTTTTTCCTATGTGGCTCTGATGTAGAGCTCACTTATACAATCATGATCGCCGCCGTAGATAAAGATGTGACTTGAAACTCGCCAGGAACATGTTTGTGATTGTGTGACGAATCTGGGATGGAGGCAGTCCGCAGCTGCTGCGCACAACACGTGCACGTGTACGGCAACCAAAACCAGTAGGGCTCCTAAATCGGGATTTGTTTTTGCAACCAGAAGAGTCGCCCCCTGCTGGATTTTCAATAAAATGCAGGTTTCAGGGACTTCCGCATCGGCTTATATTGTAGACCGGAAGCTTCCCGATTGGGTAAAGCCTACACGAAATAGAACAGTCACGCGCCTCTCAGGGTGTTTCTGTTTAGTTTCACTTCTCTGAAAGTTGTGGCGCAGATAGTTTCTCCGTCTGAACCTCCAGCTGAAGGTAATATAACTAACCTGAAATGTTTTTCTCGTTAACGCATGCTAGAAGCAGCATAAATCTGCCGCTGGATGCTTCATTTCTTCAAACTTTTAACTCTGAGGTTCACTGTGAACTTGGGACGAATGAGGCCAACAGCCGCCGTTGCTTTGTCCGCCATTTTGTCGATATTTGGGCTGTAAGCGGTAGAATAACAGCAGAAGTAGAGTTACTTTATCCTCAGGAGTTACACACAGAGTCGTTGTTACTGTGTAGCTCCAGTTCCTGATGACTGAAGGCAGCTTTTCCTGCCTGAATCAGCCTGTGGAGGTGGCAAAGACGAGCCGCTGCTCTCCCGCTGTCTGAGCCACTAACTGCGGCTGGAGAACAGCTGGTAGTGTCGGTGAATGCTGGAGCACATTTAGCTGCAGGACTGATTGAGTCTGATTTTTTTTTTTTTTTTGCTCAATAGCTTCTTCACAAAGACAGCCAGCCGGTTCTTTATGGGTCTATATTCAGTATCATTATTCAGATATGTTGTAATGTTTGGGACATTCTACCAGAAACAGGCCCTGTCACGGCCTTACAATGAATGGCATTGTTCCTTTTATTACCTTTCTAATAAATAATAGGCATTTAACCCATGACATTACACTATAAATTTGAAGCTAGCATAGACAAAAGTTTGAATAGTCCAGAATACAAGAGCCAGGATACTTACAGGACAACTTTGACCCATATATACTTTACTTGGCTTAGTGTAACTTGTTAAATTAGGTTGAAATACAATCTCACCTCAACGTAGCTGTTATAATGCTTTTGATCATATGATCTCCATCAGCAGATGATTTAGCCTGTTGTCAAAGAACTATGGATGTTCAAATGTTCTCATTTTTAAATTAATTAATTAAATTAATATTAATTTTCATCCTAAATGTATAATTTTAATATCTTTAGCTGTTAAAGCCTACAGTATTTGCTCATGAAGATCATGTGAAATGATTGAAAGCACAGTGGATTTTGTGGTAAACAACTGTTTTGTTAACTGTTTCAAGAACGCTTTTTAGTAATAAGAAATTATAATAGGAATGTTTACCAATACTTAATTAAAGAACACAAACATATCTTGTCCTGCATGCCAGTCCTGTCACATTAAATATTATGATAAAAAATGTCATATTTGAGATAATATTGATTAATTAATTGTCTAACTGTGTAGATGAAGGTGGCGGTATATACCCACCATTATGTTTGTAAAATATCCTATGTTGTAGTTTTGTTTTGCAACTATATAAGTACATGGTGTTATTCTGGACTTTCCATTCACTACATTCAACTAAAACATTGTTACTTATATTTCTTATAGAAATTATAATACCATGTTAGATACAATCAGGGACATGTGATCAATAAGAAAATACTATTTGTGTCAAACTCTTTCATTAGAAAACCATTCTAACATATACAAATTTGTCTGTGACAGGGCCTGACAATTTAGGTGTGTAACGCTTTTAAAAATGTATTTTATTCAAAAATAAAAACATGCTGAGATGGCACGATATGCGTTTCCCATAGTTTAAAGTGTTTATTGTTTATATAAAAGATGTTATTATTGTCAAAGACAAAGGAAAATATGTAATGTTGTTATATTGGAGTCTTAGTTGGTGTGAAATAATCAGCTGTAGCTTGTTGCAACAAGTCATTTTCTACAGGGACTCTGTAGAAAGAGAGATTCTGTCAGATCACATCAGTCCTTCAGTGAATGTATCCGCTCCTCCATGCATGGTGTGTGTGCTGGGCTGCAGCTTCATGCCTCCATCTAGTGGACTGATAATAGAAGTCAGCTGATGGCAGCTTCCTCTGCCTCACGCTGCTGTCTGACTGCATTCAGCTGCCACTGATATGAAACAGAAACTAGCAGCCAATCAGTGGAGGAGCAGCTGATCTTTTTCCAGGAGAAATGATGGAAAGGAGGATTTGAGTTGATGTGCAGATGAATGATTGTGTTTCCTCTCCAGGTGAAAGTGGATGTGAGTTGAGCAGCATGAGTCAGTGTGAGGACAGAGAGGAGGGAGTCCCTCCCTCTAAAAGCACTCTGTGTGGGGAACATGACAGCCAGACCAAAGCTCAGAGGTGAGATGAGGATCTCTAACTGTCCAGGACTCAAATCACTCTAGTTGAGCCTGACTGATTTATCGTTTTGTAGATATTATCTACCGATATAAGCTACTTGTTGATTTATCTGCATCGGCATTTTAACAGCTGATACTATTAAAAAAGAGAAACAGAGTGTCGCATAGTTGCCCACCAGAGGGAGCTCTGCAGCACCACAGAACAAAACATCAGCTGACTGGAGCTCAGAGCAGCTCTGTGGAGCCACAAAGCCAATTCCGTGTTTATCTGTGGAGGAGGCTGATATTAATGAGCGATTAAACTGTAGTGTCTCTAGTTACAGTCAGCGTCTCAATGATTAAACCAGAGGGGACTTGTGAATAAACGTGAGCTGAATAAGTATCTAACACACAGTTGCAGGTCCTCGTAGACAGTCATGTATAGAGATGGGGATCGAGACCCGGTTCCAAATTTCTGAAAACCTGAAAATCAATAAGGTTCGAGCTTATCGATACTGTTATCGAGACTTGCAGGTCTTATGATGTAACGTTATGTCTCAAGCGTCAAATGTGATTTAATTTGAAACGCAATGGATAAGAAAATCATCAGGCTCCCTGCTGTCTGTCGGCTCCTACACACATGGCAGCAGAGCGAGGCGGCGCCGTCGCGGTGGAATACAGTGAGGGTTAAGTTAGCTCTAAATTACTGTAACGTTAGTTGATAACAGCTACGCTCGTTACTGTAAGTACGTGCAATAAACCTTTGCAAGTAAAAAGACAGTTTATCAATACACCTGTCTGTAAGGTAACTTTAAACATGTAGAAATGGTTAATTAAATCATCTCTGTCCTCAGTATCTCATCCTGTGTTTTATACAAGCACAGCTAACGCTAGCTTGGCATTAGCCAAATGTTAAAAACAAGCTAAATAGAAAGCGGTCTGTCTGGAGCACAGACCGGTCTGTAGTCTTGAAAACTCAGCTGCTGGCTGAGACAAACCAGCCGCTCCTCCTTCTACCTGGTAACGTTACCTGCAGCCAGCGAGAGAGGAGGAGGGACTGATACAGACTGATGTTGTTCTTTCTAAACATCACTCACTACTTGTGATGTCAGATAAAGTTATTGAGTTACTTTGCTGTTGTAAACATTAATGTTGCTGCTCTAGAAACATTTAGCTGTATTTAAAATACTAAATTAAAAACAACCAGACAGTTAATATGTACTCTTCAATATATGTATGTATGTATGTATATGTATTATTTATCACAAGTGATATGTCATCTCAATATATAATGTTATCACACATTGAATATTTCCCTCACACCATGCAGGCCTACCTCAGGCCCGTTGGGTCTGGTCTTACCAAATAACCATCACTAAAAAATAGTAAAGTATCGATAAAGAATTGGATCGTTAAGCAGTCTCAATAAGGGTATCAATAAAAATTAACAATCCCCATCCCTAGTTATGAAGTATTAGATTAATTCAAGGGCAGCATTTCCTCTGCGTCACTGTATCATAGAGGCAGAAGTGTGTTAGGAAATCGTTTCTCTAGCTGCAGGTGATAAACTAGATGTATGTAGTCATCGTGGCAGATTACATGTAAAGTAATAACTACTGCATGACAAAATATATAATATAGCCGCAAGCGGCGATTCACAGGTTCATACCTTTTTTTTTTTTTGTAATACCGCCATCAAAATAATTTCACATACATGGTTCAGTATTGTTACAAAACACATTCTGCAAGTTCTGTAACGGTTGGAGAAGCATTTTCTGATCTATAGCTTGATTTGTTGGTTATTTAAAACGCCCCAGGTGTTCAATATGAATGAAACTTTCAGGGCATGTTTCATTTACTTATGAGGACACATCCTGAGAGATTTGTGATTGGAGAATGAATATGTGATTTATAGTGTAATTTGTGTAATTCTAAGCACCTTTCTTGCGATTGTAGCGCCCCCTAGGGACATAAGTACATCAAACTGTCCAGGTATATCCGGGGCACCTATCTGAACATATCCTGTGAGTTTTGTGATGATCAGCCCTACGGTTGCTGATTTGTGGTCATTTATGTCCAGAGCCGCGCCCTTTCATTGGTCCATATCTTGAAAAGTAATTGAGATATCGCTTATACAAGCGGCGATTTTGCGGGTTCATACCTTTTTTCCCCCAATATCACCATCAAAATAATTTCACACATACGGTTCAACATTGTTATGAAACATATCCTGCAAACAACTGGACAACCATTTTCTGATCTATAACTTGATTTGTATCATTCCACGTCCAGTTACGATGCATTTAAAGCGCCATTTAGTGGTCGATTTGAATGAAACTTTCAAGGCATATTTCCGGCACTCATGTGGACATATTCTGTGAGTTTTGTGATGGACCAACGGTAGCGGATCGTTGTCTATTTATGTCCTGCATCAATACCTTGAAAACGAAAGGAGCTATCACCAAGCTTTATACAACTTTATATATGTTAAGTCCAATAATGATCCAGAGAAAATTTAGTGGCAATCGGAGCTACGGTGTAGGGGGAGATGTAAAAAGTGTGTTTTTCAAAAATCTAAAATGGCAGAGGTTTTTTGTAGACGGATCTTAACGACCCTGGGGGTATTTTGTAGAGCACATTGAGCTGGAATTGTGTGAGAAATTTCAAGCACTGACTGCAAAGAACAAAACATTTACTGGGAACAAGCCCACTCAGGATTACAGACATTTCTACATATAATTCTCTCTTGCTGCTATGTTTCTAACATGTCAACAAACAGAATGGCTCCACAAAACAGAGTCTTAAGCCTACTCTTAAATGTGGAGATGGTGTCTGCCTCCTGAACCCAAACTGGAACCTGGTTCCACAGGAGAGGAGCTTGATAGCTGAACGCTCTGGCTCCTAGGGTTCTACTGCTACGCGGTATGAACCCTAATAATAACTAGAACTGCAAGCAGTTGTAAGCGGGGTCCAAGCCCCCCCCCCCCCCCCCCCCCGGCCCCGCGGAGGGAGCGCGAGTTGGCCCGGGCGCCCCACGGTCGTGCCGCATAAGGACCCCAAGTTTGGTGTTGATCCGCCATTCTAAACGTAGGTAAAATGTGGCATGGTTGGAAATCCTATTCATTTAAATGGGATTTTCCACGGCCTTTCAGCTTCAATTATATCGCCACCTAGAATCCGAATTGAATCAAAATTTTCAGGTGTCATCAGAGGCCGATCGGAAAGAATTGACCCAAATTTGGTGTCAATGGGACTTGCGGTTATGGAGATATAAAATGCATGTAAATCAATGGGATTTTTTTCAATAGCGCCAACTAGGGGCTAACTGTACCAAATTTTGCACAACCCCTCAGGGGGGTATGCCACATAAGGTCCTCAAGTTTTGTGTTGATCAGCCTTTCTAAGCCAGAGATATGTTATACTTCATTAGGGCCCGAGCACGACCGTGCGAGGTCCCTATTGAATTTGCTCGGATTATTTTTTAGGGCCCGAGCACGACCGTGCGAGGTCCCTATTGAATTTGCTCGGATTATTTTTAGGGCCCGAGCACGACCGTGCGAGGTCCCTATTGAAATTGCTCGGATTATTTTTTTTAGGGCCCGAGCACGACCGTGCGAGGTCCCTATTGAATCTGCTCGGATTATATATTTTTTTTTTTTTTCTGCAAAGTAGGCCCAAATGACATGGCCTAAACATACTCGAAAACTCACCAAAATTTGCAAACATGTCAGAACCGGTGAAAAATTTCGTATTCTACAAGTTTCGCACATGGGCGTTGCAAAATGACTCGCTAGCGCCACCTTGAAAATTGGAAATGATTAGCCCCTCGTTCACGTTCAACCTACATGTACGAAATTTTCTGGGGACATGTATCGTATCAAGACGCACAAAAAAGCCTCAAGAACCCATAGCCTAAAGTCAACAGGAAGTCGGCCATTTTGAATTTTATGGCCATTTTTGGATGATTTACATACTTCGTACTTTAACGAACTCCTCCTAGGGATTTAGTCGGATCGACGTCAAATTTCTGCTGTGCCTTCTAAAGGCATTGACGATGAAAAGTTGTGCTATTTGCAAGTTTTCGTCAATGGGCGTGTCCGTGGCGTGGCGTCAAAGATCAGCTCTTCGCCATGACACGGAAGTTGTCGTAACTTCAGTGTACATGCTCACATCTGGACCAAACTGTACATGTAGGATGAGAGTCCCGCCCTGAACACATGTACGTGCTGACATTCACAGACAGTCATAGCGCCACCTGCTGGCAACAGGAAGTGACTTTTAACGAAGCAGCCCCCGCCGCACGTTTCACCTACGTGCACGAATTTTCTGTGGTACGTGTATCTTGTCCAGACGCACAAAAAAGCCTCTTGGAGCGATGCCCTAAAATCAACAGGAAGTCGGCCATTTTGAATTTTACGTCAAATTTTGGATGATTTACACACTTCGTACTTTAACGAACTCCTCCTAGGGATTTAGTCCGACCGACTTCAAATTTGTGCTGTGCCTTCTAAAGGCATTGAAGATGAAAAGTTGTGCTATTTGCGAGTTTTCGTCAATGGGTGTGTCCGTGGCGTGGCGTCAGAGATCAAGTCTTCGCCATGACACAGGAAGTTGTTGTAACTTCAGTGTACATGCTCACATCTGAACCAAACTTTACGTGCTTGATAACTCAAGGGGTCATCTTCTCTGCTATTGGTGGACCAGTCAGACAGGAGAGCTCCTACTCTGCCTGCAGACATCAACGATCTTGCCCCTCACACAGTCAGATGGCTTCCTTCAGTGCACTGAGGTGTTTAACAACTCTGAAGACAATACTACCAGCAATGTATTCCTCTTTTCATGTAGACGCTCCGACAGACAGTGCTTTCAGTTTGCTGCATGCATGGACACAGAACTGCGGTATAGGGAGAAGCACACGGTCAGCTGGCTGCAGCTAAATCTGGAGTGCACTCGTATTCAATTCTGTATGGTAAATTCAGTTTTAACGGAGCAGAGCGAGCTGACAGGCAGAGTTAGAGACTT